CAAACCGATCCCGAACCTTTTGGTACAAGAATCGGGATTACATATTCAATGGTTCATGAATCCTGAACCGAACCGAAAATATATATGTATATTTATTTTGGTTCATGCATGTTGAATATTGAATTTAAGTATTTGAGAGTAGACTATATTATAAATAGAAGTATGAAAGTAAGTAGTTTGGAACTTTAGAACATCAGTTTGACTTGGTAAGTATGATTTTGATATTTCAATTGGTAAGAAATTTCAAATTGGTAATAGGTAAAAAACCTAAATTTCAATTAATATAAAATTGGGCAACAACATTTTAAGTCAAAAGCCTAAATTTTAGCCCATTACCCAAAAATCTTAAATTTATGGCCAAAGGCCTAAAAACCAAAACGAAATCCCGATCCATCCCAAAATACAGAAAATATTTTAAGAATTTAGAAAATTAAGAATACCAAATTTTTGGTTTGAGATTGATCTTCAAATTCCTGTTTCAAAATTTTTTAGTTTGGGATTCAAGATCCATTTTCGGGTTGGGATCCACCAAACCACCGTTAGCTTCGGCCCATTTGCCCCCCTAACGGATTTATAACTATTGTTTATTGTACAAACTCAATTGGGCAGATATCCCATGTCAAAATTGGTTGGCACTAGTCATTGCGCAAGAAGTTTCCATCAGATGGTAACGTTGTGAGGATATTTTATACTGGAATATGTTGACCTATAAAAATACATATTTTTAAATTATTGCACATGCTTAATAAAACCAGGTGATTATTCAGGCTATTTTATGATCAGCCTAAATTAGGTCCAAGAATGTAGGGGCAGACAGCGTTCACATGGAACAGTAATTACCTAATTAAATTCAAGTAAAATTTAACAGACAAACCAGAAATGTTTCTTGTGAAATTAGACTCAATCACCTTGCATATAATCTAATATCCTAGTAGATAGGATATTTAGTTTCCTCTTATGTGTTTTGGGTTCGAATTTTTTATTTTTTTTCTAAATTATTGTAATAATTTCAAATCATCTTCACTTCTCTTAATGATAATTAAAAAAAAAATCACCTTGTAAATTATTGGTCCTCATTTTTTTTTGAGAAAAAAGTAATCTATATTAGAAATTATAAGTTAATGGTAGCAGAAGAAAATATAATTATATTATTTGTATTGGGAGATTCCAAATCTCATAGAGATTTGAAACTGAACAAAAACAAATTGTCAAAGCAAAATAAGACAAGAAAAACACGCAGGAAAGTTGACTTCAAGAAACTCCTAGGTCCCTCCTTCCCATAAACAAGGACTGAGGTTGGTATTTGGTTGGCACGGCTTGATGGTGTTGAACTGCAACTCAAACTCGAGGAAACGAAAACTGACCCATATGTCATCTATCTTTCCTACTTTTCAAACAACATAAAAGCCTATCTACGATTATCACATCATATCAGAAGCCTACTCCCCACCTAAGCTTTCTTATCTCATCATAATTCCATCACTCATCCATGCATTTTGATCCCATTTAATGATTTTGAAATTCATTTCTGACTACTTGTCAATCTGTCACTGCAACCACACGTCAGACATCCCAAATCAATTTGAACTGTAATGGTAAATTTCGAACAAAAAAAATAAAAAGATGATAAATGTTGAAGAAAATTGAGGTTTTACTATAAAATTAATTGATAATATAAAAAAAAATCATTACTTATAAGCACATGCAATATTCATTTTTTTCCTAATATGAGATTTATACTCTCAAAATGGTTTTTCATGTGTTGCGAAATTGTAAGCCTAACATGTGAACAATACAAATCAGATGACATAGATTGTGTATAACAGTTCGAACTAACACACAAGACAATTTGCGCTGATACCATGAAAAAAGAGGTTCTACCTAAAACCAATTGGAAAAATAAAAATTAGCCCAATTACTAACATGAAAGGTCTTTCCATTTTATGATGCGGGAATAATACTCACAACAAATCTTAGGCAGCATCAAGGACCCAGGTACTCATTTTAATGATTTCATACCATCAAAAAACATAAAGGATGACGAACCTTAATTCCTAATGAATAATTTTTTTGGTGATATGAACATGTTATGAGGCAAAGTTATGATTTTTAATACATCTAGAGTTAAAACAAAATAGATATTACTTATCATCCAACAGTGGTAAATGCAAGAGGCAGTGAAAGCGATTGAGGCAGTAAAAGCGATTGAACTCCAATTACTGAACAAAAGTAAATGAAAGGTAGCAGAAAAGACATTCCCATTTCTGGATTCTGTGATGGGCAGCCAAGCATTCTGTGGAATTAGCTCACCACCTATCCAAATTTCAGTTGATTCCTTTGAGGGAGTAGTTGTGATGGGAATGTGGTTTTTCATTAAAGTGAATAGTATCATGAGTTTTTCGTTAAAACTCCATTTTCTTTAATAAAATACGAAATAAGACTTAATATTTTACGGTAAAGAATATATAAATTATTATAATTAACTAACTTACAATATATAATGTAATAAGGATTGATTTAATATTAAGCAGAAAATCAAGCTTTTGCGTAGTATTGGGAAAACCATTGCAATATTTCTACAATTTTCTGTTGCTTGGTGTTTATTTTAGTGTGACATCCCGTCCCGGGATTATTAAAACGCACGTGTAAAATTACCTTATTGCCCCTAGTTCGTTTTTGTCACGTAGTGGGTTGTTTTGTGTGGTGTGGCATGTGTTGGACCACACACACAGTCACTCTGCTTTTTCCCTCTGTCTCTCCCGTGTCTCTCTCTCTCTTTCTCTCCTCTTCCACCATTAGCGTACGGACACACACCAAGAACCCTTAAACCATAGCAGATCGAGGGAACCAACTACACCATTGAACTCGTGAGGTCGAGGCGAGCACAGCCATACCATTTTCAGGTGAGAAATCCTTGGTTTTCACGTCGATTCAACAATGGCCGATTTTAGTACTATTCATGCAAAGCTTATACTTTGAGTTTTTGGGATTTCTGAGCTCGTAGGTGTCTTAGTGAGGTCCTAAGGAGCGTCGGAGTAGCTCGTTGGACGAAATTGGACGTCGGGAAGGCCTGGTTTGAAGTTGGCCGAGTTTTGAGTTTTGAGACAGGTATGATCGCGTGGTTTCTGGCTTTTAAAAGTTGTGTAACGTGATTCTACTAGTCTAGGGCTTTCTTTTGGTACAAGAATCATAGAAAATGGTTGAAAAACGAAGGAGAATAGTGAATTTGAAGTTTCCTCAGTTTTCCGGCGACCGGAGTCCGGCGAGGGTAGATCGGAGAAGAAAGTAGAATATTCTGTTAAGTTTAACGGAATATTCCTAACGGCAGTGACGGCGTCAGTTAGGTTTAACGGAATATTCCGTCAGTTTAACGGAATATTCCTGACGGCGTCTGTTGACACCGTCAGTGTGCATGGCACGTGGCCGCGCGTGGGGGGTGTGTAGGTGCGTGCCTTGGCCGGCGCGTGGGGGCACGTGCGGCGGAGGAAAATTATTCTAAAAATATGGGTGTGATCCTGAGGTTGTGTAGATCACGTTGGTATATTCATTTGTCCATTTTGAGCAATGTATGAGAAGTTATTACGAGAAGTTGGTTATGTGCTTTAAAGTTAACGTTTTTATAGTTGTTTCGCATCTAGGTGACACGTACCCCGAGGACGAGCGTGCACACGCGAGACAGGGGGGCTACGACCCTTCTACATACCAGTGAGTGGGCTTTTGTTTTCCGTATATACCTATATACATTTTTATTCCCAGAAATTGATTTAAAAAGGGTTATTTGCCTTATGCCATGCATGTTATTATTATCGTTTATGCATCATTGCACGCATTAGTAGTGGCATACATATATATGCATAGTGGGTGCTGTGGACGCACAGGTAAGTACCAGGTAAGTGATATTCATATTTACTATCAGCAGTAGTTTGAGAGACTTAGAGAGCTCATAACCTGCACCCCCGGTGTTAGTGCTTCCGCCCAGAGTAGGGCACAGTCCTTCACGTGATGTTCACCTCCCGCACCACACGCTCAGCTTGGATCCAAGTTAGGTGCATAGGCCTGTCGTACAGACCACATTAGGTGGTTTCGACTCGTAGGTGACTCGCGATTATTCGCACAGCCTTCACGTGATCGTAGCACTAGAGCGTATATATATGTTACACCCAGGCCTGTCGTACAGACCACCTAGAGTGGTTCCGACTCGTGGGCAGGTTCAGTTGTAGAGTTGAGATTTGAGCTCTAGATGCAGCCGTACAGGTCACGTTAGGTGACTCCGGCTGCCAGATGTTATGATGTTGATATGATTTATACCTGGGCACTTACATTCATTATGAGGTTTCGACATGGCATATCTTGAGCATGATTGGCATACCCTTGTGCATGTTTGGCATGTTTTTACATACGATTATATGTTTATTTTCTAGGAAGTATACAGGTTTTACGGCGGGGGGTTAGAATGTATTTTGCTAAATTGTTTTCAAAGAGCTTTGTTTTTGCCCACTCACGTTTTTGTTTTGCGCCCCTCCAGGTTCTAGTTGATTAGCAGTTTCGGTGGTATTCCCAGAGGATTTCTCCCGGCTTTTCTGACAGATACTCACCAGCGTAGGGTCACCTTTGGGTGTACTTATGTCGCAACTTCCTTTTGGACTGCTGTAGACCTGCTCTGAAATTGTCTTTCACCTACGCTAGCACTTGTTTAATACTTTATATACTAGTTTTTAAATTATTCGCACATTTTTATTACTACTTTATTAGCTTCCGCACGTGCACATGGCTACGTCACCTTAGTGTGACGGCCAGCACGCTCTGATCTCGGTCGGGGTGTGTCAGTTTGGTATCAGAGCCAGGTTTGGCAGTCCTGTGTCCTTGTGAGTATTCTAATGGTTTTGGTGTCTTCTGTCAGAATTATGCCTCATCGTCGGGAACCACGTCGTTCTTCTGAGCCTAGTTTCCCCGATATTACTCAATTGGGGGGAGTTTTTGCTGCACCCCTTCAGTCAGTGATGCGCCCTCCTCAGAGGACTCCTCTAGAGACTATGTACAATCTGAAGTTGGATAAGTTTAAGGGCAGTGAGGGGCACGAGGGCGCAGAGTGCTGGCTAGAACACATAGAGAAGACTTTCCGTGTGCTGCATAATCAGGGGAACTTGCCTATGGAGAGGTGGGTCGAGACGACCGCATGGTTTCTGGATACGGAGTCGGCAGCTTGGTGGGAGCAGGAGCTTCGTAGGTTGACTCCGGATCAGAGGACTGATTGGAATGTTTTTACGGATTTGTTCAGGAGGAGATATGTGCCCCCTGAGTACATCGATAGAAAGAAGCAAGAGTTTTCCGATCTGAAACAGCGGAAGATGTCGGCGAATGAGTACTATCGCAAGTTTACGGACTTGTCTCGTTACCATCCTGATGTCGCTGGTAACCCGGCGGAGATGCTCCGTCTTTTCCGTTTGGGCACCAAGAAGAAGTGGCGTTCTATGGCGTCTACTGTCCACAGCGAGACTTACCGGGACTTCTATGAGATACTGTTGAGGATCGAGGACTCTGCGAATATGTCGAGCGACACCGATGAAGAGAAGGATGGCAACCAGAAGAAAGATGACAAAGGCAAAGGTCAGGCATCGCTCGGGCCCCGTCAGACTCAGAACTTCAAAAGGGGTGGTGCTAGCTCGAGTTCTTCGAGTGGCGGCTTCAGTGCCACTGGACAGGGTCGTGGAGGTAGATTTTCTGGTGGCGCTAGAGGCCAGAGGCAGGGCGATGGTGGTCGAGGTAGAGCCCCTATTTGCCGCAGGTGTAACAACCGGCATTTCGGTGAGTGTAGACGTGGTAGCAACGGTTGCTTCACATGTGGACAGGTGGGACATAGAGTGGCGAATTGTCCCCAGGGTCAGCAGCAGCAGAAACCACAGTAGACCTTTATGCCACCACCTGCACCACTCCAGCAGATCCAGGGTCCTAGTAGTTACGGCCAGACGGGTCGAGGTGGTGCTTACCACTATCAGGGTGATGTTGTCCCTTATGCTCCGGGGTCGTATCAGCACCCTCAGGATCCCTATTCCCAGGGTGGCTATCCCTAGTATTCAGGCGGCTATATGCCGTATCCTCCAGCTCCAGCGGGTGGTTCTCAGTGGTATCAGGGAGGACAGTATCAGCAGGGGGAGATTGCCACTAGCAGTGCAGGGTCTTCGAGACAGTCGGGCCAGCCCAGTCAGGGGCGTGGTGCTCAGGGACGCGGCGTTCAGACGAGCAGAGGCCGCGGCGGGCGTCAGCAGTGACAGGGGCGTCTTCACAATATTTCTCTGCAGGAGGCTCAGAACAACCCGGACTTGATTATGGGTACGTTGAACATTCTTGGTTGTTTCGCTAGAGTCTTAATTGATTGTGGAGCTACACATTCCGTAATTTCTCATACGTTTGCTCAAGTGACGCAACCTCGCCCCACACCTCTAGGGTATGATTTAGAGTTTGTTATGCCTAGAGGAGAGAGTTGCGTTGTAGATTGTGTGTACCCAGGATGTCCAGTAATCGTAGAGGGTGTTGCTCTGTCAGCCGATCTTATCCCGTTAGATATTGTGGACTTTGACGTGATTCTGGGCACGGATTGGTTACATTTCTATCGTGCCAACATTGACTGTTACGGGAAAGTAGTTACGTTTCACCAACCTGGACTACCTGTGGTTACTTTTGTTGGTGAGCAGAGTGGGATGAGATATGGCGTTATTTCGGCGCTGCGAGCGAAAAAGTTGTTAACTAAGGGTTGTCAGGGGTATCTGGCTCATGTGGTGCTAGATGAGGCTGTTCCTAACAGAGTTGAGGATGTGAGAGTAGTCAGACACTTCCCTGATGTATTCCCCGAGGATTTACCTGGTTTACCCCCAGATCGAGACGTAGAGTTCACTATTGAGTTGCTTCCAGGTACTAATCCTATTTCTTTAACTCCTTATCGTATGGCTCCCGCGGAGTTAAGGGAATTGAAAGTTCAGCTACAAGAGTTAGTGGATAAGGGATTTATCCAGCCTAGTACTTCGCCTTGGGGCGCTCCAGTGTTGTTTGTGAGGAAGAATGATGGAACTTTGAGGCTGTGCATCGACTACAGGCAACTGAATCGGGTGACGATTAAAAACCGTTATCCATTGCCTCGCATCGATGATTTGTTCGATCAGCTGAGAGGTGCTTGTGTGTTTTCTAAGATTGATTTGAGGTCTGGGTACTATCAGCTGAAGATTAGTAGGGATGATGTCCCTAAGACGGCGTTTAGGACTCGTTACGGTCATTACGAGTTTCTGGTTATGCCCTTTGGGTTGACGAATGCACCAGCCGCCTTCATGGATTTGATGAATCGGGTGTTCCAACCTTACTTGGATAGATTTGTTATTGTCTTCATCGACGATATTCTGGTGTATTCTAAGTCGAAGGCGGAGCATGTTCGACATCTTACTTTGGTGTTGAAAAGGTTGAGGGAACACCAGTTATATGCTAAGTTTAGCAAGTGCCAATTCTGGTTAGATCAAGTTGCGTTTTTGGGACACATCATTTCTGCTCAGGGTATTTTGGTTGACCCTCAGAAGGTTGCAGCGGTAGAGAGTTGGGAGCAACCGCGAACCGTCACCGAGGTGAGAAGTTTCCTTGGTTTGGCAGGGTATTATCGGAGATTCGTTAAGGATTTTTCGGTGATTGCCTTGCCGTTGACGAGGTTAACGAGGAAGGATGTTAAATTTGAGTGGGATGATAGGTGTGAGCAGAGTTTCCAGCGGTTGAAGCATTGTCTCACTCATGCACCTGTTTTGGCACTCCCAGACGATAGTGGTGATTTCGAGGTTTATAGCGATGCTTCCTTGAATGGTCTGGGATGTGTATTGATGCAGCATGGTAGGGTGATTGCTTATGCTTCGCGGCAGTTGAAACCTCATGAGATGAATTACCCTACACATGATTTGGAGTTGGCTGCTATCATCTTTGCGTTGAAGTTGTGGAGACACTATCTTTACGGAGAGAAGTGGAGGATCTTTACAGATCACAAGAGTCTCCAATATCTTTTTACTCAGAAGGAACTTAATCTTCGTCAGCGGAGGTGGTTGGAGTTGCTCAGCAATTACGATTGCACGATTGATTATCATCCTGGTCGTGCGAACGTAGTGGCTGATGCACTTAGCAGGAAGTCGTAGGGCCGTATTAATGCGTTGTACGCTAGTCGTGTTCCTCTTTTGGTGGACTTGCGTGCTACGGGAGTAAGGTTAGAAGCCGAAGATCGAGAAGTGGCGCTACTTGCTAATTTCCAAGTTAGGCCAATTCTTATTGATCGGGTACTTGAAGCTCAAGTAGCTGATCCGGAGACTCAAGAACTAATCCAGGCTCGAGATCAAGGAAGGAGGCGAGACCTCAGAGTTCGTGATTCGGATGGCATGTTGATGCTAGAGGGTAGAATGTTCGTGCCTAATAGTGTGGAGTTGAAGAAAGAAATTCTGGATAAAGCACATATCTCGGCTTACGCCATGCATCCAGGAGCTACTAAAATGTATCATACCATTCGACCATTTTATTATTGGCCGGGTATGAAGAGGGAGATAGCCGAGTATGTGAGCAGATGTGCTGTTTGTCAGCAAGTTAAAGCAGAAAGAAAGAAGCCGTTTGGGTTGTTGCAGCCGCTTCTCGTTCCAGAGTGGAAATGGGAAAATATCACCATGGATTTTGTGTACAAGTTGCCGCGTACACAAAATGGCTTTGACGGCATTTGGGTGATCGTTGATCGACTCACTAAGTCGGCTCATTTTATTCCAGTGAGAGAGAAGTATTCTTTGAGCCGTTTAGCGGAGTTGTTTATCTCGAAGATTGTGAAGTACCATGGTGTCCCAGTGAGTATTGTCTCGGATCGTGATCCACGATTCACATCGAAGTTTTGGGTGGCTTTTCAGGAAGCTTTGGGCACGAGATTACTTTATAGTACGGCATATCATCCACAGACTGACGGACAGTCAGAGAGAACTATTCAGACCTTGGAGGATATGCTGCGAGCTTCGGTGTTGCAGTTTGGTGATGCTTGGCACCAGCGGTTAGATTTGATGGAATTTGCTTACAACAACAGTTTTCATTCGAGCATTGGCATGGCGCCATTTGAGGCCTTGTATGGCAGAGCTTGTCGCACACCGTTGTGTTGGTCAGAGGTTGGCGAGAGAGTTTTAGTGGGTCCGGAGATTGTCGAGGAGACTACCCAGAATGTTCAGGTGATTAAGTCTAACCTGAAAGCAGCTCAAGACAGGCAAAAGAGTCTAGCGGATCGGCATGCTACGGACAGAGTGTATGAGGTCGGAGATTGGGTATTTTTGAAGCTTTCACCGTGGAGAGGTGTGTGCGATTTGGAAAGAAAGGGAAGTTGAGCCCCAGGTACATCGGACCATACATGGTCACAGAACGAGTTGGTGAGGTAGCTTACAGGTTGGAGTTGCCTCCGGAGTTGGCTAGAGTGCATAATGTTTTTCACGTGTCTATGCTCCGACACTATGTTGCTGATCCATCTCACGTGATACCTCTGCAGCCATTAAAGATTAATCCGGATTTGACGTATGACGAGGAACCGGTGACGATCATCGATTGGAAAGAGAAGGTTCTGAAGAACAAGACGGTGAATTTAGTGAAGGTTCTGTGGAGGAATCATTCAGTCGAGGAAGCTACGTGGGAGACAGAAGATCGGATGAGGGATTTGTATCCTCGATTGTTCTTTGACCACTAGGGGTTGTTACTGGGTTGTTTTAAATTTCGGGACGAAATTCTTTTAAGGCGGGAAGGTTGTGACATCCCGTCCCGGGATTATTAAAACGCACGTGTAAAATTACCTTATTGCCCCTAGTTCGTTTTTGTCACTTAGTGGGTTGTTTTGTGTGGTGTGGCATGTGTTGGACCACACACACAGTCACTCTCCTTTTTCCCTCTGTCTCTCCCGTGTCTCTATCTCTTTCTCTTCTCTTCCACCATTAGCGTACGGACACACACCAAGAACCCTCAAACCATAGCAGATCGAGGGAACCAACTACACCATTGAACTCGTGAGGTCGAGGCGAGCACAGCCATACCATTTTCAGGTGAGAAATCCTTGGTTTTCACGTCGATTCAACAATGGCCGATTTTAGTACTATTCATGCAAAGCTTATACTTTGAGTTTTTGGGATTTCTGAGCTCGTAGGTGTCTTAGTGAGGTCCTAAGGAGCGTCGGAGTAGCTTGTTGGACGAAATTGGACGTCGGGAAGGCCTGGTTTGAAGTTGGCCGAGTTTTGAGTTTTGAGACAGGTATGATCGCGTGGTTTCTGGCTTTTAAAAGTTGTGTAACGTGATTCTACTAGTCTAGGGCTTTCTTTTGGTACAAGAATCATAGAAAATGGTTGAAAAACGAAGGAGAATAGTGAATTTGAAGTTTCCTCAGTTTTCCGGCGACCGGAGTCTGGCGAGGGTAGATCGGAGAAGAAAGGAGAAAATTCCGTTAAGTTTAACGGAATATTCCTAACGGCAGTGACGGCGTCAGTTAGGTTTAACGGAATATTCCGTCAGTTTAACGGAATATTCCTGACGGCGTCTGTTGACACCGTCAGTGTGCATGGCACGTGGCCGCGCGTGGGGGGCGCGTAGGTGCGTGCCTTGGCCGGCACGTGGGGGCGCGTGCGGCGGAGGAAAATTATTCTAAAAATATGGGTGTGATCCTGAGGTTGTGTAGATCACGTTGGTATATTCATTTGTCCATTTTGAGCAATGTATGAGAAGTTATTACGAGAAGTTGGTTATGTGCTTTAAAGTTAACGTTTTTATAGTTGTTTCGCATCTAGGTGACACGTACCCCGAGGACGAGCGTGCACACGCGAGACAGGGGGGCTACGACCCTTCTACATACCAGTGAGTGGGCTTTTGTTTTCCGTATATACCTATA